GTCCCAGAATTGATGGGAAAAAATTAAAAGTCAAAATGAGGTAATTTTCTCGCTTCAACGTGTGTCCGGAATGCACCCTGTCAGCTAGAGCTTTCCAAATAGCTGAAAAACACTCGAATTCTTCTGTCTACCGTCTAAACTTCAACTTCAAGTTCTACGAAAATTGGTACATTTACGTATCGAAATGCGCCCTTTTCATTTTTAGCGTAAAAAATCTATTTACACCCTCGAAACTTAATTCGCCCTGATATGTGAATCGTTAATTATTTACAAATTAAAAATTATGGACGTCTAGTAGTGTTGTGATATTAATCACAATAAATTCTTCAATTTCGAAACTTTTGTTCTACGTCGCGTTACTTTTATGCAGTCTGCCAGATATGGAGACGTGCGTCAGCGAGAGACTAAGACAACGGAGGATTGATCGACACGTACGTATCTGGTATGCGGCGAAGCCGAGCGGTTTACAAACGGACTTGCAAAATACACGAGACATGTCCGTTTGCGTTAACGCGTCTCTATTGAGCCGGCCGCGACGAGAGAGAGGGAGAGAGCCGATCGATCGCGCCGAATATCGGCGCACCTTCGGGTTGCGAGCACAGCTGCGTCCGTTGGTGTCCTGTGATTCGCACGAAAACCTATTATCCGCGGATAGATGTGTGCAAATGTCGGCGGCTGCAATTTGGACTCGTGCGCGGCGGCGACAGGTCTTTCGCACGCGCTACGCCATCACTATTTATGGAACGTTCGAATCTATAGCTCTTCACGCTCACGGTTTTCGTGGAATGTCCGTTTGTCGGGCTCCACTGTGGTTTAAAGGGAGGGAAGTGATTTTACGAAGAAGATACGCGCGATTTCCTTGTTCAATTTCTTCTCTCCTCCCCATGTTGATTTAATTTTCACTTTGAACGTCGGATGAACAAGTATACAGGGTGTTGCGTAATACCCGTCTCACCTCTTATTTGCGGATAGAGCGGATTAGACTGAGTCGAAAAGTCCTCTACCATTTTACAATTTTCACAATAGTTAACGAGAAGATGCGGCCGTCCCGCGATTGGCGTTGCTAGGCGCGCGGGGAGTCGTTTATGACACACGGCAACGATAGAGACCCTGTAATCGGAAACTGGCCATAAGAGTTCGTCAAATGGTAGAAGAGTGGGATAGTCCATGTTTCTCTTTCACTCGCAGGAATTTGACGAAACTTGTGGCCAGTCTCTGATTACAGGGTTTCTAGGCAACAGCTACATACAATAAGCCACTCCCCGCGCGACGAGATGCGGTCGTCCCGCGATCATCGCGCGCTTGAATTGGGCGGTAGGCCGGGCTAAGACAGCGATTTTTAATAATTAATAACTCGTTAACCATTGCGAAAATTGCAAAATGGTAGAGGACTTTTCGAATCAGTCTAATCCGCTCTGTCCGCAAATAAGAGGTGAGGCGGGTATTATAAAACATCCTGTATATAACTTTCAAAAGATAGTTTTTAGCGGGCACTTCTGTTTTACTTACAAATATCAAAAACAAAGTCGAATACATGATCGTATTTAACAACCCCAACTAATAGCATAATTCCCGAGAGTTTTTAATCGTCTTGTGACTAATTCAATTGTAGAAACAATTTATGCACAAATGCGGATATTATATGTTTATCCTCCGCGAGATATTGCCTTGTCATCGTTCGGAAAAGCTGTCATTGCGAAATTGCGGCCTGGAATTACAATGTACCCAGTTACGTCCGTGTATTACGTATCATCGCGCTTAATGGCTTTCCCTTCGAATTGCACGAATCGCGAAGTGGTGCTATCGTTATTGCGCTTTCTGTGTGATTACAATAGATTAGCTGTTGATAATGCCGTGATTAGTAGGTGTTGTTCGATGCGTAAAGACAAAACGTATAAACGGTGTCATAGGGAGACATGCATTTGTCAAATCAGCTCGTGATCGACAAAAGCTTTGTCTTTACTAATCACATAATTGTGCAATATCATACGCGATTATATTGCGCAATTACACAATTCGTAAAAACAATGCATCTTTACTAAATTTGTAGATTCGCTCTTAAAAATGCCGTATATCAATATCGAATCCACCAAAGTTTATTGTTGCCTCTCTTTTTCGCGATGCTAATTGATTCTCTCGCTTCGCTCATTTCGTCCTGCGAGATAGCTGCCAGTGACATGGTGATTGAATTTTGACATCTGTCAAATAGGTTGTGTATCAAGTAAATTAAACTTGACAAGTTATCGAAGAAATGCAAAAATAGATAATGCTCGAGAATAAATGGCGCGCGCACTTTGTATTCTCCAGATAAAAAATTAATTGAAAATATACAAAAACAGATAATGCTCGAGAATAAATGGCGCCCCTACTTTGTATTCTCGAGATAAAAAATTAATTGAAAAACTTGGGAAATGTCTGGAAAGTCATTTGTATGCCACGTTATTAAATATAACAATATAAAATAAAAATATCTTTTTACGTAATAAACAATTGTCTGAGCTACGAATTGAAATTATAGTTATTTGTTACGAGGTAATCAAATAGAATTTGTTAAAATAAATAGTCATCGTGTAGCGATATGCAAACCGCAGAAGTGACAAAACTCACGGAACAGTTGTTTTACCAAGTACAGGTTAATTTTGTGTTAATTGCCTGAGCTATATCGATGAATGATCGAATCATCTTGAATTTACATACTATTATGAGATAAAATTAAAAAATCGCTTGTATATCTATTTCTAGCCAGTAATACGAGTTGGCAAACACATGTGTAATTATAATTCGCAATTTCACGATATTGAACGAGCGGCACGAAACTGCAGACCTACTGGACCGCTTACAAATTTACTGCGCGGTGCGGCCGTGACGTTTCGTGTTATTAAATAAATGCATTAATTGTTCTAAATATTAGCGTACATATTAATATTTGTTTACAGCCCACGTTAATTGTATAACGATGCGAAATTCGCGAGGCTGAGGAACATGTAAATAATAGAAGACGAGCCACGAATCGGTTCGAATTATCATTGCGGAATCATCCGCGACAAAACTCATTGTCAGTTCTCTGTCTAATTATAACTAAAATGTATAACTTATAAAAAAAACTTGATGCAATTTAAAAAACATTTTTTAATAATCGATTTACTTAGAGAACTGTCAAGTTTTAAGGAATGCTCTATCGTAGTTTTTGTTGTTGAAATTTTCATCATCTCGAACAATCTCTTTTGAACGCGTACGTTCTAATTTATTTTGCTCGCGGAAACATAATCGGTAAATTTCTCCGGTAACCCTTGCCGTGTCGTTGCCGTGTCATAACGGAGAAATGACGAGAACTCGGACGCATGTTATAGAGGAAACGAAGCGTCTGAATGCGCAACGAATAATTAAACGTCAATCGCACGCCTACTCGTCGGGCGCAGGCTTAGAGCCCATTGCTGCCTCTGTCTCTCTCATCTCCGCTCATCTACCTGGCTATTTACCTAACGCATATGCTGCACGTCGTAGCAGTAGCTATTACATAACGGTTGATATAACAGTAAGCCGTCACCCATTTAGAGCAACGGTTGGCTGCATCGACAACCTCCGTGTGATGTGGAGGCACCACATTGACAAACGCATTGTATAGCGCGATACGAGATCGGACGATATGCGCGTAACGATAATAAGTTGAAACGATGATACAGCAACGTAACAATATCATTAAAACTTGTCGGAATTTACATCTATATTCCTTTTTTTTTTTAATCAAAACGCACGACGTAATCTTAGATTATATTTAACGCATAGAAAAATCTCTTATATTTTGTGAGGGTACCAAGATAGAAGCAAAAGCAGGTAATTCATTGAGAATGTAAGTTTGAGCGATACCATAGAGCGTCACGGTGGAGTAGGCACAAAAAGTCTAAAAGATCGAGGTATAAAATGACAATGGTCGAGGAGGGTAAACACAAAGCGTAAGTGAGAGAGAGAGAGAATAGCCGAAGGGGAAGTGGCACGTGAAAGGATGACAAAGAGAGATGGAGTTCCGCGGAGAGTGGTAAAAGATTAATGGTGTCGCAGCCCCGCTTACTGATTAACTCGGATCCTATCAAAGTACCTTGCGATTCGTTAATCTCTCGATTACCATCACACCGGGCTTGCCAAACCTGTTGCACTTCTTCAGCGATTATTTTGCGTGATACAGTCGTCTCTTCGAGAAACGTTATTGTTCTTATTATAATTGGTTAGCTATTGTCAGGCGGCACTCTTGATCTTTCGCCCTACTGCAAGTGAGTCCCCCTTGACATTTAAATGTGTATTGCGTCGCATAATGTCGCTCTTGAAATTTTTATTAAATTCTTTATAAATAGTTTTCCTTTCATTTGAATTTCTTCTCGACGGTATCGATAATATTTAAAGGTGAAATGATGATACCATTATAAGGAAAAGACTAAGAAATATAAACAGATACAAATAGGTAAAATTATCTTTATAATGGAAGATAACACTGGCAGCGTTAATTTTTTGAACAGAATAAAAAATATAAATTGTATAAAATGAACAAATATTTTTGAATTGGTTTTTTATTTCAGTATTAAAAAAGACTCGTCTTATGAAACCTTTGTAGTTTATATTAAGAGATTCTTCTAGCATCAGTAGTTTTTTTAAAAGTACGTATCGATTGACAAATGTAAAAGAAAAGGGTGCAGTTTCTTCGAAATGCTAACGCTCGCACATGGGCTCTAATGCGTCAATAACGTCGAGAGTTTCAATGTAATTCGTAATTATATTGAAAAGTCGATATTCAAGACTGTAGAGATGGCATAATGTACTATTATCATTGTTTGCGCGATAATAAGTATGGGCGATATAAATCAGCGATATCAGTGTTGGAGAAACTGTGACCGATCGATAGCAGCTTGAATGTAGAGCGAACTCAGACACTCCCCGAATCTCAAGTTTCAAGTACGTCGAAGGTACTTGAATCAGTAGTAATTAGTGTCATCTAATTATATACTCACTTCTGTGTCCTTTATCAATAACCGGATCTCTCCTCAGCTTTACCCTCCTTTTCGCATTCATCCGTGGAGCTGAAAGATACAAAATATATGGCAACTTTAAAACTCAGTGTTTATTACTGTAATTAACTTTAATTAACCGTTCTCGTATTTTCGAAACGAGTAAATTATGCAAATAAATAACATTAAATATAAAATTATTTAAACAAGTTTAATACGTGAGTGCACATCACGAGACACGGTAGTGTCTCGCGCAAAGTACCTATAAGCGTAGCTAGAACCGCGCGCGCGAGACCGACCGTGTTAAAGATAATACAGATGCGAAATGTGCAACAGTATTACTAAATGAAATGTTTTTAAGACTTCGGGGAAAAGGTAGAAATTTGTTAACTAAATAGTAACGAAATTCTGAGATGGAAGACTGACTTCACAGAAGTCAAAACAGTTGTAATTTATAGATTTAATTTAAAAAGAAAATTCGTGTGAAATATAAAAAAAGTGTGAGAGAAAACCAACATTTTTTTGCTAACTCGAAATTGAAATATAAATTGAATGCTCACGGCTAGATAATAATAGCTTGGGATATTTTTACAAAATGTATATTTGGCGAATAAAGTGCAAGATGGTCATAAAATGATTTTAAGCAATATATGCTGCATGATCGAGTTAGTTTATAATATGATAACGGATTCAAAAAGAAATGCATTTCTCCTAACGCTGTCAATCATCGTTTCAGCGTATACGAAGCGACTGATGGATATTACGCCCACGTAATATCTATCAGTCGTTTCACGTGCGCCGGCAAAAATCGTTCGGTATCTTTGCAAGGAAACAAGCTTAACTGAAGTTATTGCATTTTATGCGGGAGTGGAAAACTTTGCTTAATACACGCGCTATGGCTAGCTATAAAAGGACCGCGAAGCGAGGCAAAGTGAATTACGGCCGAGATTTTCGAACAATTCCTTTTTTATAATCGCGCCCAGGCTATTTCTGCTCGATGTAGCATAAAGGCGATTTTGGCACAACCCCGATTACATCCCTCCTATGTTCAAACATGATCGACACATGGCGATCGTCTCGGAAAGTTGATCCGCAGGTAAATTTGAAATGAAACCTATCGAAGTTAAAGCAACAAGTTCTTAATTGTATGAAACGTAGATATATTTGCTAAAAGAAAGTAAATGGTAAGAAGAAAATATTTGTTACATACATATATAAAACATTCTGTCTGCAAAAGACAACATATCTGTGAAAGACACCATGCCTGTAAGAGACACCACTGTCTACAAAAGTGAATTACGTCTGTAAGAGACATCACTGTCATGTCTGTAAGAGACACCACTGTCTGCAAAAGACACCACTTTTTGTAAGAGACACCACTGTCTACAAAAGACACTACATATGTTATGTCTGTAAGAGACATCACAGTCTGTAAGAGACACCATGTCTGTAAGAGACACTACTGTCTGCAAAAGACATCACTGTCTGCAAAAGACATCACTGTCTGCAAAAGACATCACTGTCTGCAAAAGACATCACTGTCTGCAAAAGACATCACTGTCTGCAAAAGTCACCACTGTCTATAAGAGACACCATGTCTGTAAGAGACATTACTGTCTGCAAAAGACACCATGTCTGTAAGAGACAGCACTGTCTGCAAAAGACATCATGTCTGTAAGAGACACCATGTTTGCAAAAGACACCATGTTTATTTCAACAAATATGTAAAATATATTGTCTGTCACAGGTATCGTGTTTTTTCAAATATGCAAAAAGTTAGTATTTATATATTTAAAACCATGTGTACATATATGATTAACATATCAATCTTAAAACGTGGCGAAAACATAGTATGACAAACTTGACTACAGTGCAATTAAAATTTTAAGTTGTTTTGGAAAGAAAATCTTCCAATGAAAAAGTATTTTTAATCAATGTTAAAAATACTAAATGACCTGTAATCTTCAGTTCGTACCTGTATTCACGGTTACACATTTTTCTTACGCGCCCTTGTAAATTTCCTTTAATTCATGAAAGATATCGCAGAGAGGCCCTATTTCTCCTTACAAGACATAAATTAATTACGTGACTCATTAACTATTTCAACAAACGACTCTTTGTGTAAACTGCGTTATCCGCCGTAGCAGCGGCGAGCTTGCACATGGTAAAATTACATACAATCACTTTAGCATGAAAGGTACATGTTATCTTCGCACCTATGCTTCGCTCTCTTTCCCTTTTTCTACCCTCTCGCGCTTCTCGATCCATCTCGTGCGCAGTTTGTTGCATCGCAGTTTATCGGCGGGATGGACGATGGTGTAATCTGCCTTCCGATCGACATGCCGTTAATGAACACGTGGACAGATCGCGATTCCCACGTAGCTCTTGCATGGCGTGTCAGATCGCGATAACTGCTGCGACTGCAATCGATATTGCGCGCGGACCTACGCGGGGGAGTTGCCCGCCGGGCGAGAAAAATGAAACGGTCCGTTTTTGCAGCCGTAACTCGGTGACCCGCACGGTGAAGAGGAAAATACTGCGTCGAGTGGTCTCGCGATAATATCTTCGGCAAACCGTGGGCGTTAGAAACTATTCAGATGCTTCTTGCTTACTTTCAAGCGTTTGCCGTCAATTTCTTACAATCGTGATGAGAGACGACGTTATCGCCGTATGCATTTATTTCTTTTACTTTCCACAGTATTTTGTGTTACATTATCAAATAATGATCGTAAAATATCCTCAAAATTTTGCAGAATTATGAAACAATAGGTATTTGAACGTTTGATGAGTCATTACTTCTAATATTTCGTATTATTGTAGATAAATGAGAAGACAAAAGCAGAAATATACCTTCAAAAATTTTTATGAATATTGTACAGAAGATATGAAGTTAATAATTGAACAAATTTTAAACGATTTTCTTAAAAGGTATATTTATATACATTTTTTTAAATTAATATTAATCAAAGCCTTAACCTGTTTATAGAATCAATGTTTGAACTTCTTTGAAAGATGATTTTAATTAAATAATGGAAAAACGGGTGCTTTTATAGAAAGATTTAAAAAATTAGGTCAGCTATGTAATAAAACGATAGTGCATTGTGACTGAATTAAGCTAGCCTCTCGTTTAACGATGATAAAATCATTCAACTAACGCAAAAATTATCTACGCAGCTCTCGGGTATTCGTTGCATGAACATTTGGAAATTACGTTGCTCGTTTATCATTATCAAGTGTTTAAACATAAACATAAAAATCATATTCCAAATTTCATTCGACCACAGCTGGCCACATTTGTCGGTTAATCGGTCAATTGTAGTATTTTTACAATTGTAATATTTTTCGCAATAAATTTTCTGCATTGACCGATTTTGATTGGCGGATGTAGCCGGCTGTGGTGGTCGCATGAAATTTGGAATTTTATTGGCAATTTGAAGAAACTAATTTATAAAAATCATAATTATTATTTAACTAATTTTTCGTCAAATATTCATTTTTAACATTAAATCAAAAGACTTCTAAATAACATTTAAATTGCACAGTAACTGATTAACATTTTCTAGTTTGAAGGATGGGATGATTATGCTTTTTCGCTTTCTCTTATAATGATGTTTATATTCAAGAATTGTAGCAGAGAAGATGATCGATTAAACCCATTTAAATACGCTTCTTTTCTGCAGTAATATAAGCTCAGAATGAATATAAAATAAGAACATAAAGCGCGCTTTAATTGAATGCTCCTAGCTCGGTAATTTGCGTAGGAAAAATGCTATGTCGAACAAACCTACGACGTGATTCTGGAACATTAAAAAAGGACGTTTTAAATTGCCAACCGAGCCGAGGTTAACTTACGACCCCCACGTTCTTGTTTTGTGCATTTGATGACGCATTTAAAAGGAAGAGGAGGAATTGATTGTCTCGAACAAATTATAGGCCGCGATCTTTTTCGAGTAAGAATCCTGTTTTCTTTTTAAATATAGATCGGCAACAGACATTAGCCAGTCGTACATGCAAAGGGAAAAAAATTTTTCATAGAGCAGATCCCCCTCCAAGATCTGTTAGATCAGTACATAATGTACATTAAGATACTAACATGAAATTAACACGAGAAATACGATATATTTGATATTGCTGTGAGAATGTATTACTTTTTTTGAAAATGATCTGTGTTAGTTTATAGGGCGGCGAAAGAGATTTTTGTATATACAGGGTGAGTCTTTCCATATCCGACAAAATTTTTGAGAAGGTAGAACGGATCGAGATGAACGAAAAAGTCCTGTACCATTTTGCAATTTTCGTAATAGTTAACAAGTAATTAATTATTAAAAATCGTTGTCTTAGGCCGGCCTACCGCCCAATTCGAGCGCGTGGCAAGATGTGACCGCCTGGCGATCGATATTGCTATGCGCACATCTCGCCACGTGCTCGAATTGGGCGGTAGGCCAGCCTAAAACAACGATTTTTAATAAATTACTCATTAACTATTACGAAAATTGTAAAATGGTACAGGACTTTTCCGTTCATCTCGATCCGTTCTACCTTCTCAAAAATTTTGTCGGATATGGAAAGACTCACCCTGTATATATCGCCGCGTGTATATCATCGATCTTAGTTACGTATTGTAATGTCGTTTCTATGCGGAAGAGTGATTCTGTTAAAAGCAAGTCGCGCGCGAACTGTGCGCCGATGTCCGGTCGTGCTGAAATTGGATATCGCGCAATAATTAACATGAATGTCGCGTTACTCTGTACAAAGATACGGACCGTTTCGTTATTTCCCGTAGCAAATTAATCGCTATTTGCACTGAGCACTTTGGGCCTCGGACGGGAGAGCGGATCCACGGTGACCGGCGAAATTAAATTCCCGATTCCTAATTAACGGGATTTCATCACTGGCGGGACAAAAAAATACTTCCGTGTTGACTGAAACCGATGTTATCCGCGAAATTGAATCGCCGGCCGACAAGCCCGTACAGCTCGATCGATCAGACGCACTTTTCTTTCTTGTACTTATTTTTTTCCCCCATAATGCTAACATTGGCACTCGTAGCACAACATTGTTACGGTTTGCCGGTGGCTTCTTCAACAAGACGTAAAATTGTTCGTGAAAAATGAGATAAACGTTACGTCTTGCGTATCCTTGCCTACCGTACCCTTGTAATCGGAGAATAATAAAAAGAAATCTATTTCTACATGAAACGCAAAACAAATGGAACTATTGTAAATCTATAGGGAACTCGTAAAAAAAAATTTTTAATAGGGGGCAAACTTCACAGGAGTAATACTTGTATCGTTCGGAAATATTCCCGTAGCAAGACTTACCAAGATCACTGTCGACATCGTGAATAACGATCTTGATGCCTTCCCCGTCGACCAGACTACCCTGCCTTGGTAATTCGCGTTCTTCAGCTGCAACCCTGCTAACAGCCGCAGGAGGACCCTTTGTCGCTCCTGGTTGAGCCGAAGTTAACGCTCTTATCGCGTTTATGTCGGGCCTGGAATAACACATAAGAGTGTTCGTGATATTAAAGAAATTTATTTGAAACATGATTTCAACGGATCTTTTTATATTTTAAGAAAAGGGTTTTATAACTTGAGAGTAGTTTAACGATATCTTTAAGTTAATTGAAATTTAATAGAAATAATTAAAACGGCTGAGGCAGAGAGCTAAGGGTATCTACTTTCTAGACATTACCGAAGTCTCACTTATTTGATTTATAAATTTCAAGTGTGTCAGAAGACATTCTTAATAACTCTCTTACTTTGGAGTTCTTTATTGATTCACCTAAATTTTCTACCAGCGAACAAAATAAGTAAACAATAGCAGATTACTTGATAGATATTTAATAAAAGTTACTTCGAAAACCGCTAAAGACTTCTATTGCCATGAGCATGGGACGTAAGCCGATTTAAACGACCGATTATAACCATTATGCGGATTAGGCGGATTCGGTGGATTCGGATCCTTCGCGGGTTAAGCCGCAAGATTGATATTGACTGCCCACGTTGAAACAAGTTTTATTATTGCGAAACTATCTCGGAATAGCCAAGACAAGTTTAATAATTTTGCCAGCGCTCGGGGCGAAGCACGAAAAATGTTACATCCAATATCGACTTTCAACTTTCTCGGTTAAAGTTGCGATAATAAACCGCCGAGAAATGTTGTTTTGCTTGGTAAACATCAGTATATGTTGACTATATTGATTCTAAAATTAACTTTTAATAATCGTAAGTTTCAATGATATTAAACAATGTCTGTGTTACTTATTTGTACGTATTATACCCGGTGATATAGACCAACTTCTTTTTGCCTTTGAATATTTCGTTGAAATTTTAACTTAACTGGAAACGAAAAAGTTATGTGATTAGAAAAACATTAGTTTGAAAATTTAATTTAAGTTACGCGTCATTCATTTAATATTCAATTATTTAATCATCAGTCGATCACTTAATATCCAATTTTTAACATTTCAGTTCTCATTATCATACATATTACTCAAAGTACAGTTTTGAAGAAAAAGGAACTTTTGTAAGAGTAATAAAAAAAATTGGACCTTGTACTTGTGTAATTTTGTGCGCCTTAATTTATCAAATACTTCTAACTTCCAACGCAAAACAGTTAACTGCTAAATGAAATTTTCTCCACAGTGGAAAAAGCGAGTAAAGAGAATATGAAAAATATATATAGTCATTGTACTGACGGTTTTGCCAAACGAAAACGAAGTTTTTTTTTCACTTTGTAACGAGACTTTCAAACATAGTCGCAATTGTGTTAAACTTCCCACCGCGCGATCCTTGGGCACGCAATAAATTTACTCGCCCTTGCTGGTGCGCCATAGACACAAATTACCGTCCTAATTCTGTACCATGAAGGCTAAGGAAGCTTACACTTGTGGTCTGCAAAGTGTCCTTATTCCGCTATAATCGCCATCTTATCCCATGCAAAAGCCGGTGGCTTTGTGCAGAATTCGGAAATAGCGCTAAATATGCAAATCCGATTTTTAACCCGAAATAGAATTTACGCGATTTTTATGGTATATAAAATTCCGAATTATAAACGACCATATCTAACCGGGTCTCTTCACTCTTTAAGAATGTTTTTTTTTCCGGAGAACATTTTGTAAGTAGGATTTTTTGTACACTGACTGTTGCGAACGTAACATGCGTTAAATGTTTAGTGTCATTATGTTTCCCCTAAAAATAGTTACTAGAAACTGGTCTAAGAAATTTTGTTCCATAAAGATACAGACTTTTCGAAGAGACTCCAATTCATTCGGTATTAAATGTAAGAATACGATCTTTAGTGTAAATGTACCAAGAGAAAAGCGTTGAAACCTCGGTGCAGTTTTGGTGTCTATACGAGCCTCAGCGTATAACGTATTGAAAGCTGTCGACATAATCGTGCAAAAGTTTCCCGTGTAAAGCAGAAATTCGAGCGACAGTTACGACAAGAGAGAAAGATTCGCTGCAGGCTAACTCCAGAATAGATAGAGAAAATGTGAAGCTTAAGTTCAAATGTGCGAATTCGTATTTGTAAGATATTAAAACATCAGCACGCTCTCGTTCTTCAAGAAATATGAAGTAGTTATTAGATATTATTTTACAATTGAAACTTTATATACTTGTAGCTTTTATAGTCTTTTTCAAAATTTAAGAGTAGCATTAAAATGTCGAATGTAACGTCTCCGTTAAGATTTATTGGAAATTGAGAAGTTATATTGGGCGATCTATTTATATTCGCGAAGATTTTGGTGACCTTTTCGACGGAATTTTCTTCAAATCCATGTTATCAAGAAAACGTGACCGTGCGACTCTTGAAGTTGCTTTTATAAAGAACTCAGTTACAAGTTCGAGACGTCTTTTTCGACTGGCACAAGAACTACAAGAGGTATCTTCAAGCATGAATCGAAGGCATGTAGGCATTGCGTTTTCCACCGTTCTACTTTTAACCTGGAAAAGTTATCGCGCCGCTTCGCAGAATAAATAGAAATTCGTAAGTCGGTTGCGAGCCGGTTACAAACTATTGTCTGGAAGCCCCGCGGCTGCGCTGCATTAAACAAACGATATCGTGGCGTACATGACGTTGATGCAACCGCCCCGCTGCATCTTCCGTTTCTCTTGCAAATTGAAACTTGCAATTCCGCCAACGGCTGAGGCAGCGTGCGCCCCGCAGCGCTGGGCTTATCTCGCATTTTTATGCGCAGTGGTGGAAGACCCGAAAAAAAAAGATAAAAACGAGGAAGAAGACGGTGTAACGCCAAGGCGAACGAGATAGATCTCAAACGAGCCGTGCAACTTTTAACGAGTCTCGTCCCCTCAGAAGCGTTTCCGTATCCTCCGAGATAACTGCGCGATCGCGGCACGCGATTATCGAATTGTTTTGCGAGGAAGTGAAAGCGGACGATGAGTAGCTCTACGTATGAGGAATTATCCGTGCCGTTTGTGTTTTATTTATCTTTTTGTTAGCAATTTTTTAAACATTACGATCCAATGTGACGTAACGGATCGATATTAAAAGATTTGTCTGGCGTTTTGTAAGCGTCTCTTTTATGTCTCTTCGTTTTCGGGACATTCGTAATCGCATTTTGAATCTCTCTTTTGTAGTATTACTTGCAGCCATCGTTTCGCCTTGTTAGAATACTCAATGTAGTTATAAAAGGGAGCCTCAATTCCGAGTTCCTTTTCTTTATTACAGCCGGCATACAGAAAACCGTTGAACAGATTCTATATTATTTTTAAATAGAAAACAGATGCACCATTTTGTAATCTTGATTAACAACTATCTAGTAATATTAACCACTCAAATTGAACCGAATCATCTTTCACTTGTTGTTATTTAATCACGCGTTTTCTTGATAAAAATGCTTTTAAGGATTTAAAATGTATAAAAATGCTTTTTTAATATTAGATAATTCTGAAACTAGGTTACTTTTATCGGGTTTTCCATCAAAAGAATTGACTGAACATTTTTCATCCAGAAATCTGTTATTAATAGTGACGGTTATAAAGACGGAATCGCCGTATCAGAGGATAAAATAGATCTCCTTTCATCTTGCATTGATAGTTCTTTCTTCTATAACCGCGTTCAATCATGCGAATTCGCCTGGTATCGACAAGAAGCGATTTCGGCCGCGAGCAATCGACCTTTCAAATGTGAAACCGTCAATTTGACGAAGTCTTGCGTTGTACGCACGAGCGTGAGGGACGTTTATTTCGGTGGGAATAAAAATATAACAGCCATCGGCGAAATCTTTTTGCAAACATCTCGAGCGTGCAGATCAAGAGTGAAAAATAGCAAACGATCTCGTACGTGATTTCTTTTCGAATTTCATTTCGATGGAGAAAAAGTGCATTTTGCAGCGGATAAAATTGCCGTGCAGATCCGTGAGATTTCTTGACATTTTGCCGGCTGTTTACCTTCGAAAATATTTCTTCCTCCGTTTCTTTTTATTTGTGTGAGGATATACTACTTCAGAAGACTATATAATATTGATATTTTTATTTCTATGGAATATGGTGAAAATTATGTTTCAAGGTGTAGTCGATTCTATTGTTTCTTTATGTAATACAATAGGCACAAAAGAGCATTAATCATTATATTTTTCTAAGAAAAGAATTGCAAATTGTATAAGCAAGTATGAATAACACATATGCCTAGATCTAGAAGAGGTCTATTTAAAAAAAGAGGTTTATTAAAAAAAGTTTTGAAGAACTTTTTTCGTAAAATCGTGTCTTTGACATCTAAATACGTTTCAAGCATACACTTTAGCTAGGAATATACGAAGTTCTTTCAGTTTTCGCATGATTAATAATAATTCATATTTTTAAATATCTTAAATTTTTTAAAAAATTCCACGCATAATTTATGAAATCATATATGAACAATTTTTCTTGTAAATAAAGTTTTGATATTAAGGCGGTTAAATATTAGTTAGGGCAGAGATGCAGTGACATACTTTTTAATATTTTTCAAAACCGCTGTTGGTTTTCTTCCTACGCATTAGCGAAAAGAGGTCTGTTAAAAAAAAGTTTTAAAGAACTTTTTTCCGTAAAATCGTGTCTTTGACATGCAAATACGTTTCAAACATATATCTTTCAAAACATAAATTAAGATTGAAGTATATATAGGCGTTACGAATAAATTAACAAGAATATGAATAATAATCGGAGAAAAGTTTCTGTAGCCGGCGTCAATGTATGATGGTGTAACCGACGTCGCAAAGAATTAGAAAAATTCGCAAAAGCTAGTAAATGAAACGAGGAGCGTATCAATTTAAAGAGCTCAATTTCAAGGAATACACATTGCAGTCAGAATGCAATTAAATATTATTTGTACCCGCGAGTTTTAATCGCAGAAGCAAATGCTTCCCATTGAATTCCTACCAAAATTTCGTTTTTCATTCTCAGTAGGAAGTTGTATTGCATTCATATCGAATTCCACGATCAAATGCGATGGAATGTCACATGTCGGCTTTAAAAGAGGATTTCCCTCCCC